CTCCCCCCACCGTTTTTGATCCCATTTCCCCACCCTACCCCCATAAAATATCTCTGGTATATAGTTGTTCATTATTATTACTATTTTCTCACCTGGCACTTTATACTTGAGTGAAACCATCTGGTATTTTTCCTGTCTTTTCTGGCTTATTTCACTAAGCATGATCTTTTCCAGCTCCATCCATGTTGCTGCAAAAGGCATGTGTTTCTTTTTTTTTGGTTGCTGAATAATATTCCATTGTGTATATGTACCACATCTTTTTAATCCAGTCATCTACTTTTGGCGTTTGGGTTGTTTCCATGTCTTTCCAATTATAAATAAAGCACCCAGGGTCTGTTTTAAATACTTGTACTACCTCTTGAGATTACAAAGTAGACTATCACAAATAATGGGGTGCTGAATAGTAAATTGTAGGAACACCCATCTTGTAATTTCTCATCTTATCCTTGCAACAACCCTCTAAAATAGGCACTCTTCTCTCCATATAACAAATAGGAAAATACAAATAACTGAAAAACAGACTAACTCACCTGTGTTCCTTCACCATATTACTTTCATAATTGTAAACATTTTAAGATTTAATCTACATTATACATAGTTGGAAACCTCAATTGCAATTATTTTTAGCTCAATCCAGAATAGAACAACCTGGAAGGTTGCTTTAGTTCTGTACTGTTAGAAATAATTTAAACACTGTTAACTATTGTCTTAAGAATCTGAGCAACAGGTCACTTTATAGGTAATTCTGTTTCTGACCATGTTTTTTTTTTAACATCAGCAACTTAAGATTTTTAGGTTGTTTTCCAGATAGCTGTTCTTTAATTGTAATTTTTTATATTTAATTTTACTAAATTTGAGCTCTTTTTAAAATTCTAAAAGAACACTTTCTGCTATAGGTCATGGCCATTGCTCCAACCCATTATATATGGCAACGAGAGCGCTCTGTGCATCACAGTGGAGCTGTCAGAAACTACAACAGAGATGAAGTTCAGCTGCCCCGGGGACCTAGTGCCACACCAATAGATTGTTCAGTTTGTGGTAAAAAAAGAAGATATGTTAGACTGGGACTGTCTTCATCATCATCATCATTTGGTGATATGGTAGAGGTGGTAGAAAAACAGTCTCAAGAATCACACAACTCATTCTCAATGGACATATCAGTTGATCCTTCTCAAGCTTATAGCTATCCACAAGGTATGATTTAGTGATGTTAGAATGAGATATATGTAAGTTATTAATAAATCCAAGTTAATTTATTGACCAGTAGTCCTCACAGGCAGAGGTACATAAATTATATACAATGAATTAAATTAGCACTGACTTTTCCCATTTCATTTGTTTTATGCACTGGAATCATTATTTTGTTGTGGTAGCTTACCTAAACTACATTTTAAATGTGACTTATGCTAACTTGAAACCCAATACATTATGAGTTGACAACTATATTGTTTTAAGTATTTTAAGAGACTGAGCCATTTTCTTTGAAATGTTCATTTTATTGAAGATTCAACAAAATAAATTTACTTGTAATTTCACTATCTAGCTTTATCAGTGATTAATGGTTTTCCTTTATACACTTTTTAAAATTGAAATATAATTTACATATAACATTATTAGTTTTAGATGTAAAATGTAAGTTTTTGTATATGTATACATTGTCAAAATATTTCACTAACTTCCGTTATCATAATTACAATTTTCTTGTGATAACTTTTTAAGATCTACTTTCTTAGTAACTTCAAAATACAGAGTAGTATTACCTGTAGTGACCATTGCTGTATAGTAGTACACCCCCATGATTTGTAATTGGAAGTTTGTACCTTCAGCCACTCCCCATTTACCTCACTACCTCTAGCAATCACCAATATGTTCTCTGTATCTGTCTTGGTTCTTTCTTTCTTTCCTTTTACTTTCCCTTCATTTCCTCCCCACCCCCCCCTTTTTTTTATTTGTGCATACAGAACTGGGGTACAAGCCAGAGGTGTCGAGGTGGTGAGAGGATTCACCAGAGACAGTGGGGAGCAGAACAGGCAGATCGAGTAAGTACACTGCTGAGTGGAGCAGCCGGTGGATCAGGAGAGGTCTGCTGTGCCATGTGGTCACTTCCGGGGCGGGCCGGCAGGGATTGAACTCATGCTGAAGTGGCTTTAGCTTCTTAGTGTTGTGTTTAACCTGCTGTGCCACCAGGGAGGGCTCCCTTTATTTTTTAAGTTCTTTTTTTCTCACATTGTTGTAAATTTTTGGACAGTATTTGATTTCTCCCTTCGAGTATAGTCCCTGTAGTTCTCCCTTTACCATAGCACCTGTGATTCACCGCCATAGTCCCTTGCACTCCTCCTTCCCATTTTGAATGTGATATCCTATAGTATTTGCCTGATTTCACTTCATATAGTACCTTTCAGGTCTATCAATCTTACTGCAAATGGTAGAATCTCATTCCTTCCTTTTTATGGCCAAGTGGTGCATTCATTCCTTTGTATGGCTGAATTGTGCTCTCTCTCACACACACACACACAAACATGCACACATTTTCTGTAGTCATTCATCCTTATGTTGCATTGTTTCCATACCTCAGCAAAAATGCTGCAGTGAATACAGATAAGTTAATAATTTTGTTTCAGTTAAATACCTAAAAGTGGAATTACTGGATCTCATGGTAGTTTTGTTTTTTAACTTTTTGAGGAACCTCCATACTCTTTTCCATAGTAGCTGCACCAGTTTACATTACCACCAACAATGTGTAGGTTCCCTTAACAACTCATTAACATAGTGTCTTTTTGATAAGAGCCATTCAAACCAATATGAAATATCTTATTGTGGTTTTGATTTGCATTTCTCTGATGTTTAGTGATACTGAGTACTTTTTCGCATTTCTGTTGGCAACTTGTATGTCTTCTTTAGAAAAATATCTACTCGGATCCAGCCATTTTAATGGGATTCTTTTTGTTGAGTTGTAGGACTTCTGTATCTTTTTTGGGATAATAATCCCTTATCAGATATGTGATTAGTATTTTCTCCCATTCAGTAAGCTGCCTTTTCATTTTGTTGATAATTTACCTTGTCATGAAGAGTCTTTTTGGTTTGATGGAATTTTTTGCTTTTGTTTCCTTTGCTTTGGGGGTCAAATCAAAAAACCATTGCCAAGAACAATGTCAAGGGGCTTTTACCCTGTTTTCTTCTAGGCGTTTTATGATGTCAGGTCTTATATTCAACTCTTTAATCCATTTTGAGTTGATTTTTGTATATGATGTACTATAATGGCCCAGTTTCATTCTTTTGTGTATGACTGTCATTGTTCCAATAACATTTGTTGAAGAAACTATCCTTTTGCAATTGTATATCTTGGCTTCTTTATCATAAATCAACTGACCGTATTTGTGTAGAATTATTTCTGGAGGGCCCTCCCTGGTGGCACAGCGGGTCAGGACGAAGCACTGCAAGCCAGCTGCAGCCACTTCAGTGCAAATTTGATCCCTGGCTCCGTAGGTGACCCACATGGCACGGCAGACCTCTCCTGACCCGCCCGTTGCTTCCCTCAAAAGTGTACTTCATGGATCTGCCTGTTTTGCTCCCCAGTCTCTGGTGAAGCCTCTCGCTACTGCTGCACCTCTGGCTTGTACCCCAATTCTGTATGAATAAATAAATCTTAAAAAAATTATTTCTGGGTTCTCTATTGTATTTTCTTGATCTATGTGTCTATTTGTATACCCAAGCCAAATTGTTTTGGCTGTTAAAACTTTGTAATTCTGTGTACCTTGTTATTTTCCACTTTTTTTTTAAATTGAAGCTATATACTTTTTTTACTTATAAAGCATTTTTTCATATTTTGAAAACCTGATTCTCAAGAATGGCATGATCTAAATGCCTAAATTTATTTTCATATCTTTTCATTTTTGTTGACATTTGAGTGACTTTGAATTGTATCTAACATTAATTAGAAAATAATATGAGGCCTCTCTGGTGGCACAGCAGGTTAGGACACAGCACTATGAAGCTGGCCACAGCTACTGAAGTGCAAGTTCAATTCTTGCTCCCAAAGGTGATCCACATGTTGTGGCAGACTTCTCTTGACCCGCCTGCTGCTCTCCTCAGCAGTGTACTTTGTCAATCTGTCTGTTCTTCCCACTCTGTCTCTGGTGAAACCTCTTACCACCTCTGCACCTCTGGCTGTACCCCAGTTTTGTATGCATAGATAAATCTTTTTTTTTTTTTAAAGATTTATTTATCTGTGCATACAGAACTGGGGTACAGGCCAGAGATGCAGAGGGTGAGAGGATTCACCAGAGACAGAGTAGGGAGCAGAACAGGCAGATCAACAAAGTACACTGCTGAGGGGAGCAGCGGGTGGGTCAGGAGAGGTCTGCCACACCATGTGGTCACCTCCGGGGCAGGCGGGAATCGAACTCATGCGGAAGTGGCTTTAGCTTCTCAGTGCTGTGCTTTAACCTGCTGCGCCACCAGGGAGGGCCCTAAATAGATCTTTTTTAAAAGAAAAAGTAAGTTTCTATGAACTAGAAACTTATTATGACACCTTCCTTCCAGTTCTTCACTCATCTGAAGAATGACAGATTTCTTATAGCTCTTTCTGATAGATGCACATTATTTCAGAATTTTACCATAACCGTAGGAGATGGAAAGTGATTACTGAAGTTTTAATAAGAGAAACTAGACTAACACTCTTGAAAGTATAGGTCATGCTTCAGTCATGGTTCCATTCCCTTGCTATAGTAGAAATCACTAATGACTTGTTTATATACTTATTTGCTTGCTTTGTAACACTTGTATGGATGATTTTTTAAGATGTATTTATTTATGCATGCAGAACTGGGGTACAGGCCAGAGGTGCAGGTGTGGTGAGAGGATTCACCAGAGACAGAGTGGGGAGCAGAACAGGCAGATCATCAAGGTATACTCCTGAGGGGAGTAGCAGGCGGGTCAGGAGAGGTCTGCCATGCCATGTGGGTGACCTCCGGGGCAGGCGGGGATCGAACTCATGTGGAAGTGGCTTTAGCTTCTTAGTATTGTGCTTTAACCCACTGTACCACCAGGAGGGGCCCTGTATGGATGATTTTTAATGTTTCCCTGATATTTGAGGGCAAACAGTATACCATAATTACCATTTAGCATCCTCCCCTCTCTTTACCTATACTCTTTGATCCTTTCAATAGTTCATATTTACCAGATATTTTAAAATGTTTTGGCAATATGTTAAGCATTAAACATTCATAATCTCATTGAATGTTCACAGCCAACCCTAAGGTAAATTCAGTTGTCACCACTTAGTAGATAAAGAAACTAAGTCTTAGATTAAGTGATGTGCCCAAGGTAGTGGAGTAACATTTGCAACCTGTCCCTCTGACTCTAGAGACTAGTTGCAAAAAGTTATGCTTTACTGCCCCTTTGATGAGATCTTGACTTTGATAGTGAAAATAACCTGCCATAGAAGTATTCTGGTAGACAACTTAGTGAGGGAATGGTGAAAGTATATAGGAACTAAGTTCCTGATGAAAAGTTGTATGGAGTCCTTTGGGAGAGATTTCCAACCACAATTTGAACAAGTATTTACAGAAAGCAGAACAGAAACAGTTATATTTTATTTAGACTATCAACTTCAGCTACAAAAAGTAGAAACATTCTATTTTAGGCTTTGCTTTCATGACAGGAAATCAGGTACACATAGGGAGTAAGTTTCAGCTTTGGAAAAAATAGTAGGTATCTGAGGGATTGTGGGTGAAAAATGGGGCACTAAATATAGCAGAATTGTAAATGAAATTGCCTTTTTTTTTAAATTTTATTAAAAAGTTTATTTTTACATCATGAAATTGCTTTTACCTAGGAACCAGTTTCATCCTGAAGCCATGGTTTAGGATCTACAGTTACAATACAGAAAGGAACATTTACTCCTTATTGTTTTACTCAGAGTATTAACTTAAGATTAAATGTAAAATCCTTAGTTTCAGGATCACAGAGAGCAGGCAGTGTAAGGAAAAATTCTTGATCATACATACATTTAGCCAGTAAACATTTACGTTCATTTTCCCTTAATAGGCTTAATAGAGTATGCAAATGGGACGAGGGTGATTGGTCTCTGCCTCAGTAGCTGCTGATCCCCAATTCCCTAGTGACCTCTCTAGCAAATTTTTCTTCCTCTGGTTGACCTAAAGTTTATGGTGGCAGAAAACTGAATTCAGCCTTCTACAAGAGAAATTAAAGGGCTACTGCTTTGCTCCAGTTTTTCATGCTAAAACTTGGCATAAATGGTTATTGATGCTTTTATCTTTTAGACACAACTCAATTTTCAGGTAAAAGTGTATTTTTCTACCTTTAATTTTTTTTTCTCTCAAAACATGGCTATAGGCCCTCCCTGGTAGCGCAACAGGGTAAAGCACAGCACTGAAAAGCACTGAAAGCACAGGGTAAAGCCGCAGCTGCTTTAGTGCAAGTTCGATCCCCAGCCCTGGAGGTGATCCACATGTTCTGGCAGAACTTTCCTGACCTGCTCCCCTCAGCAGTGTATTTCATCATTCTGCCTGTTCTGCTCCCCACTCTGTCTCTGGTGAATCCTCTCACTGTCCCTGTGCCTCTGGCCTGTCTCTGGTGAATCTTCTCACTGTCCATGTGCCTCTGGCCTGAACCCTAGTTCTGTATGCATAAATAAATAAATTAAAAAAAAATTCTAATGGACACTGTAAGAGAGTTCTTATTCAGTTCACCATCTACTAAGCATGGTGTACTGAACAGAAACTAATTATTCCACATGAAACAGGAGTAGAGGATACATTTTTTCTGTATTTGCATTAGTCCTTCTACAAATAGTACAAGTAGGGCCTGGCAAATAAACAAATGAATGAAGAAGAGAATTCACTACTAGGTAAATAGAAAGGCAGATGAAAAGGCAATGTTCCATAACAAAGTTCAAAATGTACTTTAGAGCTTCTATCTGGAAACATTACAAAAACTATAAAGCCATTATTATTGTATGAGTGTTCAGATACATATTTAAGTATGTTGCTTCATTAAATCCTTCAACAGCACCTTGTTTTTCTTAGGACAAACTCCTTAATAGATCCTACATGGCCTAACCCCTGCCTATCTTTACAGTTGTTTCATGCAACCTCAGCATTCCTGAACTTTTAAATTTTCCTCTTTCTGCTGTAGTTAACTCTTACTTAGCATTCAGGTGTCAATTTAATCATCACATGCACAGGTAATTTGCTGACTAGAGCAAAGCCCTTATTACATTACAATACGGTGTGTTGCTTTGGAACATTTATAACAGCTAATTTTATATTTGTATGAATATAAAGGCAAAGATTTGAGGTTAAAATTTTCCACATAATGAAAAATAGTAAAATGTTATTTAAAATATATGCTGTTTTAAATAGTTCTAGTCTAAGAGCAGAATTCAGGAAGCTCAGTTCCCAGGTACTACTTTAAAACCAACATAGGGGCCTGCCTGGTGGCTCAGTACCATCAATCCATCACCAGCCACAGTTAAGAATTGGATCCCCAGCCAGTGAGCTAATAGACATGGCACAGCAGACCTCTCTTGTCTGACCTGCTGCTCCCCTCAGCAGTGTATTTCAGTAGATCTACCTGTTCTGCTCCCACTCTGTCTCTGGTGAAGCCTCTCACCCTCCCACCCTTGTACTTCTGGCCTTCACCCCAATTCTCCCTCACTAAAAAAAATATAAAAACATAGATAGAGAACATTAAAGATGAGAAAAAATAAGTGAAAAACATTCATTATTAAAGTTCTTAAAACAATAAAATGACATGGTAAATGCTAAATAACTAGTGTCTATGAATAATAAGCCTTGTCCTAATTCATATTTAGAAAGTAACCTATTTCACCAAATGTTTGGTTTATATAACAACAGAACAATTCTAAGTTTCTTTCAAGCTGGTTAAAAAGATTTGAAGATAAAAGAGATTCAAGAATTGATAATTTTTTTCTTATAATTGTTTTTCTTACAATTTTTAAGGTGGTTATATTATCAATTCCTCCCTTATTACTATTAACTCAATTACTTTATTTTTTAAAATATATACAAGCTTTTAAAATATAAAGATATATAAATTTTTTCTTAAAATGCCTATTTTATTTTGGTAGCCAATGACCATCAATCAAACAAAGAACAGAAAAATAATTTTATGAAGAAAGACAAATCTATGGCATGGTTTACAGGAAGTGAAGAGTGAGATGGTGCAACAAAGCCAACTTGGGATAATTAACTACATAATACCAAACTAGCTGCAAGACAAATGTCAAAATGGGACACATGAGCAGTTTTGAAATGTTACACTCTTTCTTTAGCTTTTGTTATTTTTAAAAATTATATGTAAAAGTTATAAAAAATCAGAGTAATGGCTAAAAATCCCAATTTATGAAAATAGTGACTTGCAATATAAAGTTCTATTTTGATACTCTTCTGTCTTCAAATCAGTTGCTGTCATCTGAGGTTCTCAGCCAAGTTGTGGTTTGAACTTCCTCAACTGGACAAGAAAAGCTAATTTAGGGGAGAAAAAAGTAAGGTAACTAAGATAATTAAAAGAAAACACCATTTTATATAGCCATTTAATACTCACCAGTATGACCAGTTTGCCAGTGTACAGGTCTAGCAATATAAGGAAATGATCCATATGGAAAATCAGAATATGATTCTTCTGTTGTAAAACAAAATATGTATTATCAGGTACATACTTTATAATTTGCTCACAAAACTGTTATAACACAAATTCCTTTTACTGTAAAGTTTGTTTCTCTCACATTTTTTTTAAAGCATTTGTTTGCCAGTTATAGAAACAATTTGTCAAGGATTACTGAGATAAATTTATGTAAGGTTTTATATCCAGGTAGATAATTCCATAGCATAAATCAGTGAATATTTGAAAAACCTGTCCTGTCCTAGATAATGTATACATACAACAAAGTCCTAAATTTGGTGCTTTGAAGAATTATCTTCCTAGCAGCATCTTAGGACTTCCTTTGGGGAATATTATCTCTTTTCATATGTCAGGTTCTATTATATCCTTTTCCTTCCAATAATCATTGATCTAAATTAAGCCATTTCTTCCTTTGCATATATCAAGTATTTCACAAATAACAAGTAAATATGAATATTATAAAAAGCTCAATTCTTCTAAGGTATCAGTTTTATATAAAATCCCTTAGAAATTTTAATTTAACAGAATAAATACACTTCAGTTTCTTTTGGCAAAAAAAAACAACATATCCCTGAGAAATACTTTTATAATCTGTTGGTCAATATATTCAGAAACCCACTCTTATTTTGCCAGCATGTGCCTAAAATAAAAGAGAAGCTCACCATGCTTATCCCCTGGAAACATCTCACCTTCAATTTTCATATTCTTTTCAGAATGGAGGTCTGTGTTGATTTTAGGTTCTACTTTTTGTACTAAAATTCCATTTTTCTGTTTTGCAAGACAAACCAACCAGTCTCTAACAATAACTTCGCTTATCTTTTCACATGAAAGAGCAAGTTCACAGGTGCGAATTCCATCTAAAAGTTCAATAACCTGTGTGATACTTTCAGAAAAGTGAAAAATATACTTTAAATTTCTATATAAATAATAATTATATGTGTATATATGCTTTAAGTTTACCATATATCTTACTCAACCCCAAATGCTATGGTTAAATCAAGGGAAAAATAAGCAATTTCACAGAATACTAAGTAAAAAATATACACAGATCATAATGTAACATTATTGTTAACATTATACTTTTAAACTTTTCTTCTGAAGTATCAGAAGGAATGCACATCCAACATGACCATTTACGTAAAGGATGAGTTAAACAACAATAAAACTGAATTTGGGACCTATGTTGTATAATAGTATTATGGGATAATGTGTGTGTGTGTGTATAAAACTAAGTTACAAAATATGAACAGTTTAACCTAGTACTTAGACAAAACTACATTATAATGTAGAACAGCTACATTCTTACTTTGCTAGATATACAGCACATACACCACCCTGTTTAAGATTTGGGTATAAGACGGGCAAAGCAACTTGAGGATTCAACATATCCAGAGCTACCTGTAGGGAGGAGAAAAGTGATCAGACTGAGTTCTGTTTAAATGAAGTATAGATATTCTTGTATTGTGATGAAATGATACACTTTTGGGAAGCTATTACTCATAATACTTCATTTTTTAGAAAACAGTACCATAAACTGCCACTTTACTGCTTTTAAAAAGGCATATTTATTATTATACAACTTGTGACATTACTTGACTACATAAAAATTATAATGGTATGCCTTACACTTGGAAATACTAAGGAACTGTCCTTTAGCTTTATTTCATATACAAACATGCACATAAAACATTAAAGCTTTAGTTCTGCTTTTGCCATATCTCAAATATGTATTTTATATTCAAAGGAAAAGCCCTGCAGCATAAATATCTTTTTTAAAAAAAAAAGATGGAAATATAGTTGAAAAAAAAAAAAGACTCCTTGCCCAGATCTCAGTCCATAGTGTCAAGCTATAAAGTACTAAGGCTATCAAGGATAAAACAGTTTATACTACAATTGTCAAACTTTGAAGGCAGCTATTACTTCCATGTCCCATGTCTCCATCACTGGTCATGGCTTCAAATCAAACCCTCTTCACAATAATCCTTCTATCTTCATATTACTCTACTTTCCCCCTAACTCAGCTTATTCTTCTTCCACACACCCCACTTTCTAGAGCTTTGTTAATGACAGATGTCTCTATCTTTAACATCTCTAATGCTACCCCTCTTCATCCTGACTTGAACTGTCTAAATGTCTTTGCCTGTCCTCTCTCAAATGGAGGTTATTTATTCCTCCAACTCTTACAACATGAAGCGAGGCACTGGGCTTACTATACTCCCAATGCTGCTTCTAAATTATTATTTATTTAACTTGTAATTGCTGAGGTTTGCAATGATCAAGACAATAATGCCTCCTAGTTTTCAGTCATTATCTGCTGGAGACCCCTAAGGAGTGAAGTGCTGAGAAAGGGGAAAGTCAGGGTCATAACTGGAAGACATGGCTAAGAGACTGGTCAGCAATGGTCAGAAGACTGGCTCTTGTACAGATCAGGATGTTCATTCTTGTGTCAAGGAAACTATGCCTGGGAAACAAAAGAGAGCAAAATAACGGGATAACACAGAAACTTGGCGAAAGATGTGTGCCAGAAAAATGATAGTCTAAGAAATAAAATAACTACTGTCTTGGAACTAAACCGGAGCAGGGGGCTGTCTCAGTAAGTATGAGTTGCCCAGGCACTTGGGACGCCTGAGCTTGTACTGAGAAGCCTTGGACCCGTAGGTCCCATTTCTCTTAAACTCTGTTTAGTGTCTGTCATTTATTTCTGGTGGTTCTTTCAGATCCCTCTCCTCAACCCTATTCACCGGAGCTGGTCTCTGGCAATTAGAGTGCATTATTAACAAATGGCAGCTGATTCAGTATATCTCTTTCCTAAATCTAGCCATGATATTAAAGAAAAATAGTACTTGCAATCCTAGAAACAGAGCAAATACTCAAGGAATACCCATATTAAAAAATGTGATCCTTATTAAATGTGTAATGTCATAGAACCCAATTTAGAAAACCTACCGCATCAAATATCAAAGATTTTATGTCGTCAGTTGCTCCTGAAATATCTTTATGAATAAAATCCACATTGTCGGGCCATTCTTCTACATGACTTATTTTCCATGAATCACGCCAATGTTTGTAATTCTTCTTAGCCAGTTCATGGTGGTCTTTTCGTATTTCAAAACTTACGACTCTTCCTTTTGATCCGACTTAATTAAAATATATATGTTATTTCATGGTATTAATCCAGTTAAGAAAATGCCACAATTTTATTTTGTCAAAGCTCTTGTATGCATAAGTAAAATCTTTTTAAAAAATTTGACAGATACACTTATGATCTGTACACATTTCTGTAGTTGTTATGCTCCACTGAAAAGTATAATTACAAAAAGTTAAAGAATTAAAAGGCATGGAAGGAGCAAGAGAACAAAGAAAGCAAAAGGTTAGAAGATAATGACTGAAATAAATATATAAAATAAAAAGAAAATTTAACTTTCTGTTATATTGAACAAATTAAATGTTTTGTCACGTTATCTAAATTCAGTTCACTTATCCTAAGCACTTACCTGCTTTGGATAAAAATAAGCTCATTGCACCAGAGCCAGAGCCAGCTTCCAAAACAGTATCACCTGGGTGGATATTCATCATCAATAGCAGCACACTCACATCCTAAGATTAAAATACAGTATGGGTAATTCAGTGACCAATAAATATATACTTAGTACCTTAGTATAGGTACCTAGGATAGTACACTATCTTAGACATGGAGAAGAAAGAAGTGAATAAAAGGATTAGTCTTTGGCCCATCTACCAAAAGTTTATATTTTACTTGATGTAATAAGAATCATTTAGTTGAAAAAAGTAACATTTAAGTATAATACCAGCATTATAGACAGTAAGTACAACAGGAGATGAGAAATAGGAGAAATCAGTGGACTGCCTGACTTAAAGAATTCTTTAAAGTGCAGAATTTAAGAAAACAACCACAAGCTAGAAACAATACAGAAGTAAAGCAAACAGTATGGCCATCTCAGGAGGAGAGGTGAAGAGAGGTTGAAGCCATGCTGAAACATTTGATTTTGATCTACTAAGTGGGGTGTGTGAGCTAGGTGATATAAATGCCATTTAAAAAATATGATATTTTATAAAATTAATTTTTTAAAGATTTATTTATTCATACAGAACTGGGGTACAAGCCAGAGGTGCAGGGGCAGTGAGAGTCTTCACCAGAGACAGGGTGGGGAGCAGAACAGGCAGACTGACAAAGTACACTGTTGAGGGGAGCAGTGGGCATGTGGGAAGAGGTCTGCCATGCCATGTGGTCACCTCTGGGGCCAGGGATCGAACTCGCACTGAGGTGGTTGTGGCCAGCTTGCAGTGCTGCATCCTAACCCATTGCACCACCAGGGAGGGCCCCTATAAAGATTAATTTTTATACAAAGGAGTACGGGAAATACAAAACCAGAAAGAAACCAAGCAGGAAAACTAGTTAGGAAGTTATTGCATACTCTCTACATGGAATGATGAACCTCTATTTAGAATTAAGATAAGAGAAATAGACTGGATGACTCATTTGCCATAGACTATACTGGAAAATTTTTTTTTGTTAATTAAAAAGAATATCATGAAAGATAGTAATAAGAACTGTTTATTGAAACTTTACCACATGCTAGGCTTCTGCAACTGTGCAAACTGTTTTTTCACATTAATCAGGATAGTATGAAAAACATATCATCACTCCCTATTCAGTGTTTTAAAAAAAGACATTTCCACCAAGAGCTTATGATACCCCACTGACCTAAAATCTCATGGAAGGTTTTCTTGGTCCATACATAAACCTTTTAAAATAGATTGGAGTCCAGCTTAGAACCTTTCAATGGTGGTTCAATGCACAAGGAATGAGATACTACTTTCTCCATATTTTATACCATTCTCTCCTTTACCCACCCAGGCCCACAATAGGAACTCTACAACAGTCTTCTTTTACAAAAACATGCTGCATCTAGATATTTGCATAGTTGGCTCTTCCTAAATGCGCCTCCTTATCCTGTGCCTCATAAGAGGCCATCTCTAACCACCTGACAAACTATTCTCCTGCAGGTCACTCAACACAATGTCATTTTATTCTATTTCTCTTCATGGCACTTAGCAGCACCTAAAATGATCTTATTCTTTCATTTACTTGCTTATTCTTCCTCACCTCCTCTAGGATGTTGAGAACAAGTACTGGTTCATCACCTCACCTCTAAAATAGTCCCTTTAATATAGTAATCTATTATTTGCCAGACTGGCCATCGAGTCTTCACACTAGTCCTGATGTTCTCAATTACAAAAAAAAAAAAAAAAAAAAATCTACAAGGACTATAAGTGTGACTAAGGAGTGAAATAAGCCACTAGCAAACTCTTCAACATTCCCCAGTGCTGACCTTGCAAACTGAAGAATTAGGGGGAAATAAATGTAATACTTTCTATATGCCTATTGAGTCCACATCACTCTATAAGTGAAGTGATACTGTTCATTTTACAGACCAGAGACTCCCAAATAAAGATTAAATCTGGCTGTTTCCTCTTAAAATTAGCAATGACAAGATATGTAAAAGTCATATCCAGGCTTAGAACAGCAAAAAGTTTAACGTTCTGACATGTGTTTAAAGTACATTACTCAGGAATATACAACTGCATTAATTTTATCCTTTTTGGAACCAATATGCACCTAATGCCCATAGCTTTACCTTTGGGTATGTTATGGTAGGTCCTCTTTTCATCAGTAATACATAGTCTTCTAATGTCGGCCTCTTCAGTATAAATTGCTTACCCGAAGAACTCCTCACTATCTGGCCGGGGAACTTCCCCACAATGTCGCTGAATGATACCTTCCCCCAGTTTCCATTGAAGTGTCCGGTGTTGCTCAATTTAAATAATTTTTTAGATTGTGTTTCTCTCTTCCCAATCTCAGCTAAAATCAGCTCCCCAGCCTGAAAGGGTTCCTCTCGGGAAGTTGAACAGGCAGAAGAAACGTGAAGGTCTTCGACCTCAACCGCCGATTGGAGTGCGGATCCCCGAAATGCGGGACCAAACTGATCCTGGTCGGCACTCGAGTCCTCGTGCTCTCGAGAGGGTGTCTCCTCGCGAGGCGTCGGCAGTCTGAAGTTTTCCAATGACGAAAGACATCTAGTCCTAAAGCCCCGGACCCGCAGAGGGAGAAAAGGGGGCGACTCCGAGCCGGGGGCTTTGCTCTGTGCCACCTGACACTGCTCTCCTTCTCCATCTCGTGCGTCTCTAGAAGCTTCGCAACACAGTGCCCGCGCTCCTTGGCAGAGGTCTAGTCCAAAGCCATGCAAGAGTGAGCAGGTCCCAAGTCTTGGCCGCCTGCGAAAGCGTCGCAGCCGCAGCAGACACGAGCCACCACCGCCAGCTGACAGCATGGTGTTGAGCGCAGGCGCCGTCGCAGACGAGTGACGTGGCCGGCACACAGCCGTTCCCTGCCCGGCGCCCGGGCGCAGCAGCCCAGGCAGGTAGAGCCCGGCTTCGCCGTCTGCGTGCTTAGAGTGTGGGAGGTCGAGGTCGGGACTTGGGATCCGCCGGGCCCTACTCGAGTAGCTGTTAGAGATGGAGACCCACTCCCGTTGGGGGCCCACTTCATCTTCGTAATGAGGGCGGAGTACACTACTGACCGCTGACAAAATGCCACCAGCTTCGCCTCAGAGATAAAGCCTGTGACAGCGCTGTATAAACTGTGACGTCCCGTGAAAGGGCCCTCTCGCTAGTAACCATCAATCGAAAGTTATCCGATCACCCCCTAAGATGTATAAGTAAAACGCCCGGAAATGAGTTTGACAGACGACGTCTGGACCGACCCCATTTGCTGAGCAGGGCTTGGTTTCCAGCTGAGCCGCATTTCCTCCCAGATTCGTCTCTTTTGATGGCTCTGCCAGCTTGACAGGCCCAGACTGACCAGGAAGACTGATGAAAGTGTAGTATTCACTATATGCTTATTCAGACTGGGTCTTTTTTTTTTTTAAGTAGTTTATAACATAGTTAACTAAATATTTTTTACCTCCTCCAAGCTAAATAAAGCATCTTAAAATGGGGAAAGGTTATATTTGGAGTCCAAAGTCTCGTTTATCATTAAATATCACTAATGTAATATAAATGTAACAGAGAGGTCCCCAGGAAAAGGGGAGGTTCCAGGATCCTTGCCCTACCCAAGGGAAGGTGGAGCTGAGAGACCTGGAGAAGAAGACATGGGAGGAGACTGGGGGAGAAGGAGAAGAAGAAGGAGTCCTGAAAGAGACACATAGAACAGAAAGATATGTGAAGAAGCTGCACTTGCTTTTTGGTACTGTACTGGTTGAACAGATGTGGGTGAGAGGCCCACAGGGAGGTTAACAATGGCAGTGTTGATCTTGATTTTGATTTTGCCCTTTTCCTTCCAGACTTGTCTGACGGTTTCTGCCTTTTTCTATGGGTCCCCATGACAAGGTGTTTTAGACTTGTGTCAGGCTTTCAGGTCTCAGTGGCCCTGCTTTGGGCTAACCCTGTATGGACGGACATTTACTCACAAGGGGATGAGTGATTTTGAGTGCTTGATTTGAAAACTATTCTTCCCTATCACTGTATTGCACACTAATTGCATTAAAGTTACTTTCTACTAAAGGTCTTAGGTATGTTTTGTCTTGATGCGGCAGATGGCAGAACAGAAGCTATTTAGAGGAGGCAGGTTTGGGGGGCTTGGGGTGCCTCTCTCCTTGTCCTGCAACAAATTCTGGGCAAAGGCTTATTGGAGATTAGACAATATCTGGCACATTAGATATTTATTTTAAGTTTATAACAACCCTATGTTAGTTTCCCGTATTTATGCATAAAGCACTGATCCAGGGGGGTTAAGTGATTTGGGCAACATCCCATAGCTGACCAGTGGCAGCTATGTTGAGCTAGGTCAGCATAGTTGAGAAGTCCATGCTCATTATCCTGAATTACCCCTTCTAAAAGACTGCTTAACAGTACAATTAAAGTCAGACTTCAAGTCAAAG